CTTCAACTACAGCTGTACTCCAGCGTGGTTCACGCACCAGGGAACAAACTCTGCTCTGAGCTACAATCCTTACATACATGAAGAGGTACATGTGAATCAGTGTAGTGGCCCTTGGAGCAAACTTTCTCCCTGAATTGCACTTTGCAGGGGAAGAGAGGCCGCAGAAGATGGAAGCGCTCTCCTTCCCTGGGCTTTGCCACGCAGCCACGCAGTGCCCTCTGCATGCATTCCCTGCCCTGTGACTGCTTTGGGGCAATGTCCATGGCCTTCATGGTTGCAACTGGAGAGAAGCGTCGCAGCTGGAAGCCCAAAACTCTCCATGAGCCTCAGTGATACCACTCCACCTGTCCCTCATGCTGGGTGTATCTTCCGTTCGTTGTCAGCGCTCGTTAAGACCGAGGGCATCTCTGTCTCTCGCTCTGCCTTCTCCACGTCTCCGGTTTCATTGGAGCAGAGTCAAACAGAGCCAAATCCACACAGGGTCTGGAACGGATCAGCAGGTCAGCTGGGAATGCCTGTCAGGCAGCCAGTGAGATCCCTCCCTTCTCGCTGGCTTTCTTTGAGGTTTGTAGCTCTTCTGCTTTCTTGTTGCTATTGCCACCCTCCCCACACTCCCCCTTGCCACACACCAAGCACCCAGACCTTTACTGAGCACTTTACTTAATCCCCAGGATTCTTTATATAGGGATTAATCTTCTCGTCACAGTGGGAGAGCTCGGCGGGAGGGGGTACATTTATCTCTCCTGCTGAGGTCTAGAGTTGCATTGCTGTGATTATTGGTGGTAGCAGTGTGCGTGTGTCTGGGGATCTGTGTTTAGCTTCTTCGTTTCTTAAACGGCACAGGGGCAGCAGCCAGGCACGTTTGCTTTCTGGCTGCATTGTCTGCTGCTAGAGAGAGAGATTGTGAGTGGGGAGCAGCATGGCAGAACAAGAAGCCAGTGGCTTGCAAGTCCTTCTCTCCACCCTCCAGGTAAGAACAGCTTGAACTAATGAGAGAGGTGCTTGGGCTTGTTTTCCTCTTTAGTTCACCAGCAGCGACTTGTTGAGCTGAGTTTGTTCTTAGGAGCTCCCTGCTGGCTTGTCTCTAAAAGCATCAGCACACAGGAGTCCTGACCTGCACCTCCCACCCTAAAACGCCTTTATGAAACGAAGTTTCACTATCCGAAGACGAACGCTGGCAGTTACTGCTATGCATCAATCACCGAGCCCTGTCTGCAGTGCCTCGGCTTCTGCAATCTTGCTGTGTGCAGCAGGGGACTGAGGGAGGTGTGAGGAATCGGCTGCTTTGCGATGAATGGGACCTGACAGCACTGTCAGTCTGTGAGCGAGGCGAGCGAGGCATGCAGCACTGCTCCGAGAGCCATGGAGAATGAGTAAACAGATCTGCCCGGAGGCTGCAAGTTCCTCCCTGTCAAACTTACTTCACCAAGACCCCGAAGCGCTCTCAGGAAAGCAGCAAAACCTCCCGAGGTTGGGCTTGGTGAGATGCTGAGTGCTCAGCAAATGTACCCGAGGAGCAGAGGGGAGGAAATGTTCCGCTCCAGGATCACACTTGTTGGACAGGAGAAGTATTTCTTCCTTTGTCTGTAGGGTATCCCCTTGATTCTCTTTTCTCCCAGCATGTATGTGCTCCTTGTGGTCTCACAGGAGAGGAGGCATGACCCACTCTATGAAACAAGATGCGTGTTTTGGAAGGGAACCTGTGCGTTCATGAGATACCGTTATGTCATGAGTGGTGGGTGGGAAGTGCTTTGCCAGGACAAGTTGCTTGTACAAAAAAACCCAGCTTTTAGATGTTTATGGTAAAATTCCAGTTGTCTGCATTTCTAAGGTGCCCTGATCTGGGTCAGAGCACCACAAGGACAGGAGTTTGGGGCAGTGTGCTACAGGGTCTTTTCATCTGGGGCAGCAGCATCCTCTGACGGCTTCATGCATCACCAAAACCTTGCACTGCTGCATGCACAGGAGCAGGAAATAAGGAGCACGTTGTGTGAAACAGACTTCCCTCCTGGGTCAGCCCAAGAGCTCATGTCCCTCAGCCCCATGTTTCTGAAGGTTTTTGTGACCCGTCAGAAATGTGTATAGAAGGTCGTAAAACCCCATGGTACGTAATTGGCTCCAGAACCACAGCTGCATGTGGTGATCAGCCTTGACATCTTTATCCAAGCTTGTGTAACTGTCAACAACTTTCATTTCTCATAACATTGCCAAACCCTGGTTTGCCCTCCATGGAACCCTGTGGCGATGAGTTCTGCAGAAGAATGGGCACACATGAAAGTTGTTTACTGTTCTTTTTATGGCAGTGTAACTTGCCTGCCTCTGTTGCTCTTTCAGCATATGTAATGCGTGTTTTGCATTAGATCATGTTTTTGCCACATCCAGGTTACAGTCTGTTACTTTGGATAACTGAGAACTGAGTGTACATCTCCTGTTTCTTCTTATACTTTCTAACGCTAACAGTCCTGGTGCTCTGTGCATAATCTGGGGACAGAAAGGGACAAGGCAGAGGAATAAATTGGGATCTGTAATTTAATATATGTGATTCATTAACAAAGCTGCATGGAAGAGGATGAAAAATATTTAGAACCAAGTGAAAGAGCTGGCAAAACTGCAAGGGTATCAGCAAAAATGCAAGGCTGCTAAGCATTCAACCACAGCATTACAAAATCTAACCGTAGTACAAGCAACCTTTTTTCCAAAAAGTTCATATTCACTTAAAGAAGAGCGATGGGCTTTACTCTGATTTGTTCTGATTCCTCTCCTCCTCTCTTACCTTCAGCCAGAATTTGATCAGTGTATCACTCCAACGCTGTCACCTGTCCCAGGTGCACAAACTCAAAGATAAAAAGGACCTTTGCTACTCATAGTCTGGAAGCACTGGCCTGGGAAATAATGACTTTTGCTGACATTTGCATTTGCTGATATAATCTCTCCACACTTTATATTTTCTCCAACAGCTGTCCAAAACACAGTGGCTTTGTTTTTGTATCCTGCCAAATTGCCAGTGCTAGTTCATATTATTTTATTGGGCATGAAGAACATATCTGCTGAGTACAGCAGGATGTTGGAGGACAGTACTATTGTGTATTTTCCTTTGTTTTATCACGTAAGTCTCGTTTGTATACAGAAAACTTTCAGCTGGAGCATGAGGGAACATCCATCCACCAAGCTGCTCTTTACAGACTTCAGAACAAAACCAGCCTTCTTCCTTCAGTCACACACTGACAACTAGTTTTCTATCTTACTTCCAAATACTGGCATGGATTTCTATTCCCAATCTGAAGAATGTACCAACCTAAGAAATGCTCTATCACCATCAGCTGAGAGAGCAGTGCAGCTTATCTCCTCCTGGCACAGACTCCTGGTCTCACAACCTGGCTTTGGTAAGGATGGTCTCACGCAGACCAAAACTCAAACACTGTGCACTTTGTCACAGAATTCCTGCTCCAGTTGAAGAAAGAAGCACATTTGGTTTTTTTGAGTTCTTCAGAACTGTTAACAGAGCAAAAAGGGAGCATGATCCTCCAATGACAGCAGAAACTCATGGAAGCACGACTCGTTACAGATGTTCTGAAAAGTGACAAGGTGAAAAGCAAAAGCTGCTTTTAAAGCGCGGCTGCATTTTGTCACTGAAATGTCACTGCAGGGAAGACATGACATTTCAGATCCCTAGGTAAGAAGTGCTTCATTGCTTACAAGGTACAGCTTTCAAATGTGAGTTTCAGATTTAAGAAAAACCTCTCCCTATCTCACAAGTTTTGTATCAGTATTGCAGTGCCAAACCATTAGGAACTTTCTGTTATTTCTTATTTTGCTTTTAACCCTGGTACTTTCTTCTTTGCTCTCTCTTCTTGACTCTCCCTATCCCACCTGCTCCTACAATTATCCCATTCGTCTCTCATCCTGTTCTGTTCCCATCTCTGCATCACAGACCACAGTAATGTCTTTGCATCCAGCTCTGCTCTGTCTTTCTTAGCCAGTACAGTACCTACACCAAGGCTGGGTTGGTTACTACTCTTCACTCTACTCTCCAGTCAGACTGTGCCAGAAATCAGCATCGTCTCCACGTACAGCTTATGTTCAGGGGAGAAAATGATGTTTTGCAGGCAGCCTCCTTAAAACTAAATCCCAGACAGATTTGGGTTTAGATCCCCTATTTATTTTAATGCCTAGAAGTTGTATGTGGGCATTGATTAAAAAAAAAAACACCAAACTATCAATAACTAAGTAGAGCAATAGAAAATGCAGCATCTTTTGTTGTGTCCCAGATTATTGAATCATTTGTGATTTCAGAGCATCCATGCTCATACTGCTGGTTATCCCAGCTTCATCTCACTCCATCCTCCAGATGCATGCTAAGTAAGCAACATTTTGATTCTTCCTCTGCTTTCTCCCTGCTCTTTTCCTTGCTTGCCAGGCCAAGATATGAGCCTGCCTTGGTTACCCCTGAGAACATCTCCTTATTGCATGGCAGTGTGCTCTGTGTTGCCTGAGGAGTCCCAGATTTCCTGTTGGCTCTCAGCACGGTGTTCACATGCTTCCCAAAGCCACACTGTCTGCGTGCATATTCCACTAAGCTGGCAACCCGTGGGGCTGTTGGCAGATCTTTGGCTCATACTGAACCCTACTGTGCTGGACTGCAAAGGTTTCCGAATGTTATGGTTCAAAAGGAAAGAGGTGAAAATCTTATGTATCCACGAGGATGTGATCTGTGTAAAGGGATTCCTGTCTGAATGACTGTGGTGCCCAGCAGGGAAGAGATGCGGGGTTCACTGTTTGCTAACTTGAACCTCTCTGTTCCATTGCGCTGCTTCTCCCGAGCTGTTTTGCTGGCTGGCTGACAAGGCAGTTCTATTGTTATCCTAAAGTCAAGTGGGAAGATATCTGTGCTGCTCCAGTGACAATGAATATAAATGCATTTTGCAAAATGCTTTTGTCTCCTCTGCATCCTTGCACTTATACTGTCAGCAGAGCAGTTGAGATTCCTGGGACTGAGCAAAATGGATGTAAAACACCAAGAACTTCTCAGCAAGCAGAACGCCTGCTGGTTTGCACAGGAGGTGGGAGAGTTTGGAGTCGGGTTCTGTATTTTTGGGAGGCAGCTTGGCATGCAGGGGTTAGTTGAATACTCTTACAGGGAAGAAAACTCAGCTCAAAACCAGATGGTCATTTTCATGTGGTTCATTAACTGTGTTTTATTGAGATTGTTATATCTAAAGTAAACAGCAGTGGATTTAGTGTTCTCCTATTCCTTACAAAAAATATTCTAGCTTTGGAGCAGCAAAAGCAGTGCAATTAGGTCAACGAGACACTTGGTTATGGTGTTCCAAGGAAAATCCATCGTAGGGAAACACTGGATGCTCTGTCAGTACTCTCCTGTCTCTAATGCCAAAGCAGCATTGTATGGGAATTGCTGCCACGGCCTGAGCCAATGATTGAGCACCTGGTGAGGGGACACAGCCAGCCCTGGGAGCACAGGTGAAAGCAATTCCTGGTTCCACCCCTCCCTAAGCCTCATTTAAGGGCTGGCTGCCACAAGGGAAGGGTGTCTACCTGCAGGTTCCTCCTTTTGGGATATTTAGTGAGCCCTCCTCCTTGGGATGGGTAAGCAAATCCCTTTTTCTTTAACTGCATTGTGACCATCCCCATTTTTTGGGGGGTAATTGGGAACTGGTTATCTGTTATTGCTTTCTCATAGAGACATAGATTGCGTATGTTTTTGTTTTTTTAAAGAAAAAATATTCTTCTGCAGACAATTCTATAGAGGGTCTTTAGGCCAACATCACAACTTTCAGAGTCACTGCTTGTTCTTTTTGCCTCAACTATCACATTCTCTCTGTCTAAGGAGAACCTAAGGGTAACTTGGAGCTCTTCCTGGCTCACCACCACGGGGCACTGCTAAGCAGGAGGAGCCCTTGCACCATCAAGGGACAAAGGAGCCCAACATCTGGGCATCAACCCCAAATTCTTACACGGCCGTGGAAGACACATCAACGTTTGGCATTCCTGTGAGTCAGTGCAGAACACTGAAAGCCCTCAGAGGCAGCTGAGGCACGTTTTGGGCTCTGCTGAAACTCTTCCACCAGCTGAGCTCAGACCAGGCTTTTGTTCTGTTCTCAGGCTGGCTGCAGCTGTTTCTCTGAGCGTGCTGCCAGCTCCTCTGACAATGCTTTCAGTTGGGCTCTTCAGAATTCCCTGTGACTGCATTAATGAAAACGTAAGACCTTGAGATGTTAGATCTACCCAGAGGCTGATCAGAGCACCATTAGCTGCAGCTGCAATGAGCAGGAAAGCGCATTGTATTCTGGCCCCAGAAATCTGAACAGAACTTTCTCTGCCAAGGAAGAAAAGTTAGCTTCAGTCTGTCCTTTCCTGGAGACCCTCTGGCTCTCTTGCTGTAGAAATGCAAATGTGGTCGGATAGTTTTGTCATTAAATCACTTGAATGCAGGGCTGAAGAAGTGGGTTACATCCCAATGCATCTGGCTTAATCATGTGTTAAATTGCTAATAATCCCACTGTGCCTCCCATTGGTGTTAGAGAAGATCAGGCAATTAATATTTGAAAAAAAAAAAAAGTGAAGTTTTGCTGAAATAATGATTTTTTTTTTTAAGTGAATCAATAATTGTTTCAGTATGGGACTTGGGTAGAGCACAATAAATAACGCACAGAACTACGTGTTAAATGTTGAGGACAAATAGCTATGCAGGGTGATTGTCAGGGAAGCGTGCACTGCTCATGCAGCAGCAGGGGTTTTGTGAAATAAAACAAGTTACTGTGTAATAATAAATAATATAAAAAAATGCCAGGGGGCCAAATGAGGTGACACAAACAATTTAAAAGCAATGCTTCTCAACCTGACTCTGCACCTATGGTCAGGCTGTTTATATGTAGTATAATAGTATGCTATGCAACAGTGAGCAGCTTTATATTGTATATTTTTTGGACAACTGCAGCATTATGGACATGCACATTAAACTACATTGTGTAAGAAAGTAAATGCATTTGTTTAAGACATGCTTAGCTTTCACATACGATTTAAAAATATTCAAATGATTTGAATTTCTATTTGTAAGTCACAAATATTGTTGATGGTTGCTGTGCTTCCATGGCTGTTTTGTATGCCTAATATTAATGTACTACGTCAATATTTTTGTGTCAATGGAAAATATCCACCTTCACCTTCTCTTGGGCTTCAATAGTTTCCCTCTGTGAAATACATGAAAAGAGTTGTTTTCATACAGAGAGATGTTTGTTTGAATAGATCTTGCTTATGTTTCTTTATATAGCATAATCTTATTTCTAGTGTATTATGCTACATTGTGTTGTAATGATTTGGCAATCCTTTTCACGCACTTTTTCTCCCCAATGCATTGGAGCAGTCCTCTTGGCTTTATCTGTAATAGGAAAATATGTCTTTGGTAGAAAATGCATTCGTGGGCATCTCTGAATGACAGTTTATTACATTACACTTAGCAGAGAGTCCTAGAAGGTTGCATTGAAAAATGGATGGGCTGATATTGGTTAACTTCAGCAGCATCTTGTAACACCAGAAGTTTCATGTGTATTAATAGGGAGAACAACACCTCCAGGAGGTTTAAGAGATGGGGGTGGATTTTGTGCTGCTCATTCTGAGATAGCAGGGCTGAAAATTGCTCCTGGAGATGTCCCTGTCATAGGGACACTGGTTTTGTGAAATCATTCCTGTTTGTGTCAGGATAGGTAGCAGAGTGCACATCTTCACCATGCTTATGAGAAAATCAGAGGGAGAACTTGTGCTTCTGGGGAAGAGGGGATAAAAGCCTCTTGCCTTCCAAAGAGCCTGGGGAAAGTACAGGACTGAGGTGATGCTTGCCACTCGCTCCTTATGAAGTTAGCCATGCTTCTTGGGGGAGGAGGGGGGGGTAAGGTGAGCCCTTGCTCTGTGTGTTAGGGTTGATGTATGGAGACCTGAGTGCCTCAGGTTTTCCTGTCTTTGCAAATCCCCTATATGCAAACACTAATCACCCATACTTGCTATTGAGCTATGCCAGACTTTAGCCCCATGACTACGTTCTTCTCACCAGACCTGGATGTAAAATAATTCCCTGTTGCCTTTCTCTGTTCTGTTAATAAGCACTTGTCTCATGGATAGTCTATTTGCACCTGTTGGCCTACAGAGCCTGATGTGCTACAGGACACAAATCCTGTTCCACAAGCTGAAGCCATTCCGCGTGCTGAGCTCACTGCTCCTCTCCACAGGGGAAGGGACTTTGATTTTTGATCAGAACAGGCTGGTTTGGGCTGCTGAGGGAGACTGGAGCCAGAATGCAATTGGAAAGTGGTGGGATGCACTCCTTGATAGGGATTTACAGTCTTCTCCAGGGATACCCGGATGGTCCAAGGCAATCTCGCCTGACTGTCCTTCTGCTCCCCACTGACAAAATCAAGTTTGATGTGGAAAGTGGGGAATGAGTGCTAGGAAGAAGCCATACAGTTTGTTCTCGTACAGCTCTAGGCATGAATGTCCAGCCAGTTGACATGAGTGAGTCCTCAGTGCCTACAGTGCTGGAAACTGTGCATCAGAAGGAATGTGTGCTGTTATTTTACAAAAGACAGTTTAATTTCAGAAGAGGCAGTTAAGTTAAAGCTCCTGTTGAAGCAAGAATATGAATCAGTGAAGACACAACAAACTCGCATCTGTGACTCAGTATTTCCTGCTGATCTGTTGCACTGTTAGGGCCTTTGTTTTACTGAATGGAGACCTGCCGTATTATAAAGAAATTAAGGTTTTAGAAGTCAAGAATTTGTCATTTGTTTCATGTCTCCTGGAGAGGACAAAGACAATATAATGGAGACCCTTCTGCCCACAGGCAGTACTAAGCTACGCAGAAGAGAATGAATGTTTTGCACTGGGTATTGATTGACAGAGTAACATCTGCTCAACGAGAAATTCCCTGGGCCAAGTGAAACCTCCTTCCCTTAGGGGATTTGGAGAGCAAGGCTGTCACTTTTTTTTCTTTGTGATTTCTTCTCTGGGAAGAGCACAGCTTTTTCTTTAAAGGTGTTGTAGGTTCAGTTGGAATTAATGAGTACAGCAGAACTTTTACAGTGAGTCTTTTTTGAAAATTGAGTAATTCTGACACAGAGTCCTGTAGAAGAAATAACTAATCAACCAAGGCAAGGCCTTGCCTTTTTTCCACCTTTCAAGAAGGGATGCTTGAAGGCAGAACGTTTTCTTTTTATTTTTCTGACACTAGAGACAAGGAAGCACCACAGAATTGCATTTTACTGCAATCCACTACTGGAAAGTCTTTTATGTGCATTAATTGTTGGTGTAATTTACAAGCAGACGTTTTTCCAGTGGGAATTTGATCCTTACAGTAAATGGAGATGAGTTCTTACCCGCTGGACTGATCTGCTCCTCCTCACTGTTCTACCTATTTCTTTCCTTTCAACATACAGAATGGTGGAGTACTGATGGCCAAAACAAGACTCCTGGGCTTCGTTCTCAGGACTACTAAAAACTCTCTCTATAAAATTCATTTAATATCTGTGCCTCCTGATTTCTTCATTTGATTGCTAAATAGTACCAAACTTCATCTGTCAAATCTGAGTGCTGAGAAGCAATCACACTGCCTCCCAAATTAAAGTGTGGAACTACTTACTCCATGAGCGGATGACACTCGTGTAGTGGATAGAATTGACTCAATGCAGGTGGTTCTCTACCACCCACTTATTTTGGTGGGATTCCTTCTGGAAGGCCAAAGTGGAAGATTACAGTGAGGATGAAGCTGGATATCCATTTAATTCGGGATTAACCTGACAAGCAGGAGCGTAACAGGGAGGGAAAGCATAATCAGTTCACTTGGCATAGGGAATGCCCACCTGTCTGCCCTGCAAGGGAGGGGAGGGCGAATGGTCCACCTGACCTTTCCCTACGATTAAAATACAGATCTGATGAAGTCAGAGGAACAAACTGAACTGCCTTGTTCAACCCTCTGTTTTTCCAGGAATAAACTAGCACCATCCTCATGGTTTCTGGAGATGATAGAGGACAGCAGAGGTACTGAATATTTATTTTTCCGGCTTCCTCTTCGAGAAAGTCTCCTGCATTTGAATGGCTCCTTGCCCCTTGTTAGCGTGCCATAACAAGGGGAAAGAGCTTGAGATGCCAAATGAAGAGGATTGTGTGTCTGGCTGTGGTTTTCTTCAAGTTTCTGTTCCGATAGGACTTGGGTCACCTGATCTCCCCATAACACACAAGGATTTCAAGGGGACAGCTGGAAGTAGAGGTGCATTAAAATGATTCTCATCTAAGATGAAAACCATGTTTATTAGTGGTTTGTTTCAAAAGATCCCATAGCTAAAGCTGTATCTCACAGAAAATTTTGGAGGGTTTTATCTATGAGATGGTTATCTAAGTGTCTGGAAAACTTCCTAGCTGAGTTCTCCTTCTGTGTCCTAACAGAGCTTATGGTGATCTGTTCTACTGATGGTCTACTTGAAATCATGCTCAAATGAAAGGACACAACTACACTGTGGTGGTCTGTACATGCTGGTGTTGGATAAAAGTATCAGGTTAGGCTCTGGCACGTACCAAATCTCCTACTGGGGTATTCCCAA